CCAGATGCACAAACCTCAGAGGGAAGGTAGGGAGGGTGGGAGTAAGAGGGAGAGTTCAACCAAAGGACTTGTATGCATGCATATAAGCATAAGCGATGGACGCAGACAACAGGGGGTGAGGGTGAAGGCAAGACTGGGGGGATGAGGGGACAATGGGGGGATAAAGACACATTTGTAATACATTAATCAATAAAAAATTTTAAAAAAAACTTAATGTAGCCAGCTTTCTATATATTTGTGACCTAATATTTACTTTCTTCACCTATAAAATGGGAATTAATAAACTGGTTGTCAATAAATGTACAAACCCCACAAAAGTAGACTTAGTAGATTCTGAAAACAGTAAGTACTGTGCATAAAGCAGATATTGATATTTTTATTAATTTAAATGATCAAAGTAAAAGCTGAAGCACCTTTATTCAGGTCATTCTTTCAATATGTGGCTATAAGATGACATCAGAAAAGCAGCAAATAGAAAGTTATGTTTGATAACAAACTGGTTCGGGCATAAGTTACTGGAGGGTGAACCACTGAAGTTTTATTCATCTTCCTATTCTCATTGCAAAGTGCCTGGAACATAATCATTTCATAAATACATGTTGAATAAATAAGAATTATTAAGTAAAGATACACATTATAGGGATATATCCTTTACCCCAAAGGATTATTTTTACTTTTTATGTGAAATTAGAGTAACCATGGTGAACCACAATGGCCTCTGAAGGAAATAAAACTCTCACTGAAGTCCATACACACTCCGTAAATATAAAAAACACCAAGGCCTATTGGATTTTTTGTATACAGCACTTTACAAAGCACTTGGCATACATTCAGCCAGCCAGAGGAAATTCCAAGTGAAACTCAATCCATGTGTGTGTTTGTTTTGCGGGAGCCAATTATTTTTATGGCATGTAACTTTAATTGGTGGCAGATATAAAATATCACTTTATAGCTATACTACATGTTCATTTAGCTCTGCTTACAGTCCAAAATGTTTAATTAATAAACTTTGAACACTAATGGGAAATTCTGCATTCTTAGGAGAATGCTGGCCCAGAGATAACAGGAAGCGTGTTCTACGCAGCCTGCATGCAGTTTTTCTCGCTCAAACCACTGATGGCCTTAACAACTCGATCTGTCATCTACCAGCATAAAATGCATCCCCATGTGGGAGGAGAAAGATATTCTCCAGAAATACATTTTGTATAATTTAAAGTTTAGACACATTTCAAATCACGCCCGCCAGGCAAAAGGGGCTAATTCAGGCATGTGATTCTAACCCACAACTAGGATCCACACACATCGCGCCTTGCCCCCTAACTATGGATGTTACTTGCGTTACTTGCAGATTGGCTGAGGGCACCAGAAGAATGGAATGAGATGCCATCTTACATTATTCTTTTCCTGTCTCCTAAGGACAGGAAGGTGAAAACTAACTCTCTCTCTCTCTCTCTCTCTCTCTCTCTCTCTCTCTCTCTCTCCCATTTCAGGTTATATGAATTGAGATTTATTGCCCTCCTGAGGATGAAGGCAAGATAATTTGTACTAAGTTAGCATTCTCCTTAGGTATGTCTCGGCATGCTATAGGCTTCTCTCAGTTACATTTGCTCTGCATTTCTAACTAATACATTTCCAAAGGAGCATAAACAAACACCGGGTTAATACTGTGATTCTGCAACTGGAGAGCTGGATAAAGTGCTGCGTACCTCCCAACGATTTCTCTCTTCTCCTTCTCCATCTAATCCTTGTAATTTCAATTATAAACTTTTTTTCAGAATAAAATATAAGCTTTTTCACACAGTCTCTATCACATATCCACAAGGTGTGATAGTCATAACTCAAGGAGTAATAAACATTTATTATGAACCTGATATGCCAGACCCTGGGGAGACAATGACAAAGACAACACAGGTTCTGCCATTAAGGGGCTCATATCTTACACTTGAAAATCAACAGCAGGTTGAACAATAAGTGTTACACAGGCTTAATATATAAACGTAATCAAATGTAACCAAAACTGTAATACGTGGGGTAAGGCTGGCGTGAGGTATGCATGCGAGGCCCAGTGCCATCGAGAAAGGCAGGGTTGGAAAAGTATTGCTCAGTACCCTTCACTTTCTCCCACATGTCCATCATTTTTACGGGTAAAACTGATTTTAAAAGCACGCCAAGGAGGACTTTGAAGAGAGATAGGCTTCAAAAAGAGCAACTTGCATCCTGAAAGGCATAAAGGGGGGAGAAGGACTCCCCGAGTCTCTGCTTGCTGAAACGTGTGTTGGAGGAAAGGACAAGGACAGTTGTACGTATGTATACAGATGCCTACTATGCTGCCAGTCAAAGGATCTCTCCCAGTGAGGAGCCAATCCCTTCGCAGCCCAGAGCCCCTTAGTT